TTCTTCACCAACACCATAATTCAAAGGAATGAATTCTTCTTCAGCCTTCAGTATGGATTGCACCTCAACATAAAGAAAACAAAAATCCTCACAACTGGACCAATAAGCAACATCCTGATAAACAGATAAAATACTGAAGTTGTCAAGGATTTCATTTTTCTTGACTCCATGGTAAATACCAATGGAAGCAGCAGTCAAAAAATCAAATGACATATTGCATTGGGCAAAAGACCTTTTTAATGTGTTCAGAAGCAAAGATGTCACTTTGAGGACTAACGTTTGCCTGACCTATGCATGCGAAAGCTGGACAATGAATGAGGAAGACCAAATCCCATATAGTAAGTGTAAAAATGGCATGATGGTGTCAGAGGACCTCTAACTTCACAAGGGGGTATAAGAATCATTATTGTTATCAGCATCAACAGCCCAAGGCTGATTCCTATGAGGAGAAGGTCAGACATACCTTGTCTCTCCAACTTTTTTACCAATTCCCATACCTGCCGTCCCTCCCTCAGCACTCTCTGCTTCTCTGCTGCGTTCAATAATTCATTGCAATGGCCACAGAGAACTCACAGACAATATTCATGATTATGGAGTTTATTAGGGTACTAACAGGTTACAATTCAGGATCAGGCACCACTCAGGATACGGTTCATTGATCAGGACAGCTCAGCTCAGCCCACAGGCAGGCCCCTCTTTGGCCCATGGCCTTTGGTCCCTTCCCAGCCTCTGCCCTGCTCCAGCAAGTGTTACAAAGCTCTTTAGCTTCAACAATAAGTGTTTGGGGGCACCCCAATCCACCAGTAAGGCTCGACCCAAAGGTGCTCAGCTCTATCACTCCATGGGTCAGCAAGCCTAGCAAAGCCAACAAGTGTCCAGAGGCAACCTTACTCTCAGCAAGCATTCTACCAGAAGGCACTCAGCACTCCTGCTGTGAAGGCTGGGAAGCCCAATGTCCATCTTCTGCTGGTCTCCTGGTTCTGTTGCTGCTGATCCTGTGGTGCACTTGCTGCCACTTCTCCCCATCTTGCGCCATCTCCCATGTTACAACTCTATGCCTCCTGGGTATAGGATGTTCTCCACGCAAGGACCCAGGACCCAAAGGACACACTCTACTCCTATCTCTTCTTCCTTGGTGGTAGTGAGGCCCTCTGTCTGCCTCTGGGATGGCTCATTTTAAGCCTAGCTGGATGGCAAAACTGACCAATCCACTCATTATACAATATTTGCATGGTTCCACCTCCATAAAGGTGCCATGCACCTTATTTGCATTATTAACAAACTGTCCAATCCCTTGGTGGGTCACAAGCAATTCATTTGCATAGTCCTACCCAGTCATTTGGTGGTAGTTACAAGACTATGGCGAGAAAGGCCATATAATAGCAATCCATCACACTGCAGTCCACCCCTGGCTTTTCTAGCCACTGGCCCTTTCATACTTGGAGGATAGCTTCCCCCTCCCAATCATTTTACCAGCCGAAAACAGTCATTAGCAATTAGTCCTTCTGTAGGGCAGAGAGTCCCAAGGGTGAAGTTACTCAGGAGCAGCCATTCTGGTCTGTTGCGGGTATCCATCTGATCTGTTCAGATTCTTCCAAAGTTGTCTCAGCTTCACCCTTTCTGGTGTCTGATAAAATTTAACTGAGAGAAGATTATTCCCTTCTCTGGGCCTCATGAGGTATCAGCATAGCAAAACCTTTAGGGGACTTTAGGTTCGACTACTGTACTCTAGTTCAGCAGTGCACCCCCCTTAGTCCAATCTTCAGTTACTGCTTCTACAATTACCATTTTCACCATCACAAGTAAGCCTGTTAACAAGCAACGCTCACAACTGAATCATATAATCCTATCAGCATCTTTCCCTACCCTCTTCCCAAGACCTTTCAAGAAAAGAGGATCTATTCAGTGGGGATTCTCCCTTGTCCTCCTTATTTTGAGTGTAAGTTCACCCACTAAAGCATGCAAGACAACCACTTCATGTCTTTTTCTCCCTCATTTTACATAGCCAATGTCTAAATTGCCTTTCCTTTCAAAACCAGTACTCTGAGGAGACAAGCAAGTTCCTTGATCTAAAGTATCTTCTGTTCTGGATGGAACTTTGAGCATCTACATCCATAAGCAAAGTCCAGCCCAGGAAAGCCATCAAATTACAGCAATTTACACCAGTTCACGTTATCAGATCTCTCTCTCTTCACATGGTCATGATCTGGTCAGCTTATCCCTAACTCCCGTGGGATAGGACAATGGGTACCAGCCATGGGCTCGAGAGTCCACACACCTCCTGGCACTTCAGACCAGCCAGCCCCTTCTCTCTCTCTCTCATCCCTAGCCCTCATGTGCTAGGTCAAAGGGCACAACTTGTAGGCTCAGAAGAGGCCCTAGGGCTGAGTCTTGGACAGCAGAGAAGTATCTGAGGTCATCACTGAGAAGTGCATAAGCAGGAAGCATTTTGGCTGCTCTCCTAAAAGCAGCTCTCTACTGTTGCACCTCTCTGCCATCAGGCTACTTGCGATTGGCCACTCCACCACTAAATAAACCAGCACAGAGCCATTGTAGCAGGCCGTTCAGCTCTCTTAGGTCCTCTCTGGCATCAGGTCTCTCCATTGGCCTGTTTGTCATTGGACTCTCTGCTGCTAAGTGGCCCAGCTCACAGCCATTGTAGCAGCTTGCTGAGCTCTTAGCTGCTGTCTACATTGGGCCTCTCAGCCATCATGCCTTTCTCCCATCAGTCTTTCTGCCATCAGCCTCTCTGCTGCTAACTTGCCCAGCTCATAGCCAGTGTAGCAACATGATCAGCACTCCCAGATGCTCTCTGTTGTCAGGCTTCTCTGAAATCAGGCCTCTCTGACATCAGGCCTCTTCACTGTTGGCCTTTCTGCCACTGGCTGCTCTACTAAGTGGACAAGCTCACAGTCAGTGTAGCAACTTTGGGACCACACAGCTCTCACATGGCTCTTTTTCTCTGCCATCCCAGCTCTTAGCCAGTATATCTTCTGGCATCCAGAAGGCTTCCCCACAAACCTCTCCATTTTAGCTATATGTATATATCCTGATTCTCATCAGTTGCAAGGCAGGGCCTCCTTCACAATACCAGAGTTCAAACAATCCTCAATTACCCATGAGATGTCAATCAATGCAGGTCTTGTTATTACCAGGCAAGACTAAACAAAACTATCAGACTATCAACTTGTTTACAGCTTACCCAGAAAATGTCAACTGACCAGGGAAATATCCTGGGCATAAGTAAGAATCCTTTTGCGGTAGAAAACAACATGGGAATCCACTTCCCCCTCCCACTTTGCTTCTCAAAAAAACTAGGGCAAAGGTAAGACCTCCTCAGTGCTTAGGGGAAAAAAATCTCTCAAGCTGTTTTTCAAAAAATGTAAGGCCAACTGAACTGACTTCAACACAATAGGAAAACAAAAAAAACTATCAAGGAATCTATAACCTCCTTGAGGAGATAAGACATGGGCACTGAAAAAAAAATTTTTTTTAGAAGACCAGACTTACTGGCCTGAAAGAGACTGGAGAAACCCTCAAGAGTATGGCCCCCAGACACCCTTTTAGCTCAGTGGTGAAGTCACTTCCGAGGTTTACCATTCAGCCGGGGATTGGATAGCCCCATAAAACAAAATGGGACTAATGAGGCACAGCAGTCCAGGGACAAGCACTAGAAGACAAAAGGGGGCAGGAAAGTTGGTGATGGGGAACCTAAGGTTAAGGACAGTGTTGACATATAGTGGGGTTGTTAACCACTGTCATAGGGCAGTGAGAATAGCAGCACAACTGGAAGAATGTAATTGATGTTACTGAACTGTGCATTTAGAAATTTTTGAAATGGTGTATCTTTGGCTATGTATATTCCGCCCCCCCCAAAAAAAAGGTCGAGAAGGGAGAGGGTTGACATGTCGTGGGGTTGTTAACCAAGGTCATAAAACAATATGTGTACTGACTGTTTAATGAAAAACTATTTGTTCTGTAAACCTTCACCTGAAGTATAATAAAAAAATAAATAATTCTTTTTCCTACAATGGTTACGTACTATTAAAAGTAGTCCTTACCCCAAGAATCTGTGGGTAGTGCCAATGGTTAACACAATTGGCTGCTAACCGAAAAGACTGCAGGTTCCAGTCTATCCAAGAGTATCTTGAAAGAAGGTGATCTACTTCCGAAAATCTTAGGGAGCAGAGTTCTACTCTCACAAACAGGGGGTCGCCATGAGTGGGAATCAACTCAATGGCAACCAGATTTGACAGGAAATTGTCGTAAGAAATTTTTAGGATTTTCTAACTCCTAAAAATTCTAACTAAATCCCTTGTACCAATTACTCCATGTCTCTTTTACCTAGTGTAGATACTGCATCATCCTTCAACTAGATTAGCTGGAGTGTCAAGATTCCACTTAAATATAATCCAAATAACTCAGTGCTCTCTTTTTTATTCCCCACTGTATCCTTAGTTCTGGAAACATGGCCAGGCACAAAGGCAGTATGTGACAAATATTTGTTACATTAATGAATAAACTCAATGTAACGTTACTGTTTTTTAGGTCCTTCTGCATGATAGAAAGTTGTAAAATTGAGGGTAGACATTCTGGTTTTCGATCGTTCCTTAACACTGATGTGGGGAAACTGAACTCATCTACATGTGCTCCAAATTCCACCAATCCAATATTACCCTTTTGCAACCAACCACCTCTCATGGCTTTTGTCATTTATAGCAACATTCAAGACACTGATTATCTTTTCGGTTTTTGAAATTTACACTTTTATTTCTTCCACTGAGATTAACTCACACTTTCATTCATTTTATTGGCACAACAACTGAAGTGTATGTGTTTGTATTAACATCATATTATGTCATGATATCCAAATACATATTTATGTAGGATGACTGTATCAGGCATTCCCAGTCTCTGCATTCATATGATTTCCCTCAGGATACACTTTGTAGCTGTACAATGAGATATAAATTTTTGCTCAACCCTCTTCTCCAGTGTTTCTCACTTTATTGTACTTGTTTTATGTGACATAAAGGATGAGGTAAGTGATCACTGAAGGCTCTTCCACATTTGCTGTATTCGTAAGGTTTCTCTCCTGTACAAACTCTCTGTCATCTCCTGTGGGTTCACATCTGGCAAAAGGCTGTCCCTCAAGGACTATGTTCTTATTTGTTAGACACTCAGAGGTGTTTACCGATGTCTGACCTGCCACAGAAGGCATCTCTGTAGTCACTGTATTAACAGGGCTTTTCTCCTGCTGGAGATCAGTGGTATGTGACTTGATGTGACTCGCTGTGGAAGGGTCTTCCACATTCATTGAATCTACACATTTCTCTCTAGTGTGTATTCTTTTATGTGATAAAAGGCAAGACACGGAGGCAAAAGTTTTCAAACACTCATTGCAGCCATATGGAGTCTCTCCTGTATGAAATCTTTTATGATCAATGAGCTTTTCCTTCTTGTCAAAGCTCTTCTCACATTCACTGCATTTAAAGGGTTTCTCGCCTTTGTGAATTTTCTGATGTTTAATAAGATTTGACTTCTGAGAATATGATTTTCCATATTCATTGTATATAAAGGAACTCATTCCTGGGTGACATTTCTGAGGTTCTGTGAGGCACAGCTTTTGACTGAAGGCTTTACCACATTCACTGCATACATACAGTTTCTTACCAGCATGAATTCTCTGATGATGAGTGAGATGTCTTCTATAGATGAAGCCTTTTCCACATGTACTGCAAATATAGGGTTTCTTTCCAGTATGACTTACCTGATGAACAGTGAGATCTCTTTTACAGATGAAGCCTTTTCCACATTCACTGCATGTATAAGGTTTCTCTCCAGTATGAATTCTCTGATGAACAGTGAGATCTCCCTTCTGGATGAAACCTTTTCCACAAGAACTGCATACGAAGGGTTTCTCTCTAGTGTGAATTCACTGATGAATTATGAAATTTCCCTTCTGGTTAAAGCCTTTTCCACATTCACTGCACATAAAGGGTTTCTCTCCAGTATGAATTCGCTGATGAATAGTGAAATGTGTCTTCTGCACAAAGCCTTTTCCACACTCATGGCATGTATATGGTTTCTCTGCCATATGAGTTTTCTGATGTTTATTGAGGTGTGATTTATGGAGATAGGCTTTGTCACATTCCATGCATTTGTATGGTTTTTGTCCTTTATGAGTTGTGTGATAATGTTCACTGAGCTTGAATTTTTTAAAGAAGGCTTCCTCACATAGATTGCATCTATAAGGTTCCTCTCCTGTATGAATGACCTGCTGCTCAGTGAGCAATGACTTCCTCATGAAGGCTTTCCCACATTCACTGCATACATGAGCTTTCTGTATTTTGTAAGTTTTCCAACACTTAATGATTTGGAAGTCAGTGCTGCTGGATTTTTGACTCTCAAGAAATTGCATTTCAGTACAAAATTGCTTCTGGTCAGCATGGAGAAAGGTTTTCTCATCTCCTTTAGGCTCATCACTTCTGCTCTGATTGACTGCTGGTGAAGTTATATTTGACTTCATAGCCTTCTCATGCAAGTCAAACATAGCATGATTTTCCCTTAAAGGAAAATGATTTTTGTGCCGATGAACAATATTTTCCAATGCATTATGTTCACTGCGTTGTTCCATGCTGTCCAACCTGCTTTCATTTTGTTGGTGCCCAAGCAGATGATCATCAACTTTCTTGACTTCGAGGAAAGAAGAGAACAATGAATCCTGCCATCGTCTTGATTCAGAATGAAGCCATTTTAAAAAAATGCATTGCTGTAAGGTTGATCTTTATTGATAACTCTCTTGTATGAGTTTAAATAATATACCATGCTTAATGTTCCTTGCACACTGATAGAAATACAATAATATAAAGAACCCAAACAGAAAAACAATTAGTATAGAAACAAGCTTAGATAATACATAATAAATGAATACACATGTGGCTGCTTCTTAAATAAGTCCTTGTAAAATACGTAGATAATATAAAATATAAGCAAGTCACTGTGACCCACAGACCACAGAGGTTGTAAGGCAGCCTCCTGATCCCAACTGGTGAAGGACAGGTTCATTCACTCAACAAATCCTTACTCAAAGACAACTATTCACCAGGCATAGTTGAATATGTAGAAAATGCAGAATGTTACATATGCGGGAAAATACTTTTCACAGCTACATAGTAAAGATTTGGGGATTCACAAACGTATTCCTTATGTTTATGGAGCCTACATCTAGTTTTATAAAGAACTGAAAAAAGGCAGAGAAAGCCATAAAGAACATAGTTGCAGACTATGAAAAGTTTTTATGAGAGGCTAGCAAGGGGTGGCAGAAATGAGGATACGTTTTGAAGGAAGAGAAGGTTCACTAATGAATTCATTGTTGCCGGGGGTAGTAAAGAGAGTGAGGAATAAAGGGTAGCTACTAAGTATTTCATCTGAGCCACGGAGTAGCAGTGTCTTTTCATGAGATGAGGAATACCATTAATGTATGGAATACTCAAGAGAATATTCTCAAGCACATTAACTTCAAAATGATTATTACATCTCGAAGTACAGAAATGAAGAAATCTGAAAGACGAACAAACCTTGACTAGAAGTAACAATTTGGAAAACTTTTGTATTTAACTACGATTTAAGGACAGAGGACAGAATAAGATTATGTTCAGAGAACATGTACAGTAAAAGAAGATGAACATCCAGGTTTCAATCATTCTAACATTTAGAGCTTTGGAACCGGAAAACTGTCCTGAGGACTGAAGTGAGTACAGATGTAATATTTACAATGAACTAAGAGAAGGATTAGAATCAGTGTAGAATCAGGAACTAAATTTGGCTTTTGTCTTTGGTCCGTTAAAAGATTAAAAATAAATAAATAAACCTATTGCCTTTGAGTCCATTACAACTCAGAGTAACCGTATAGGACAGAGTACAACCGCCCCATAGGATTTTCAAGGCTGTAATTCTTATCGAAGCACACTGCCACATCTTTATCTTGCAGAGCTGCTGGTGGGTTAAAACCACCAACCTTTCAGTTAGCAGCAGGGCGCTTAACCACGATATTACCAGGGCTCCTCCCCTGAAAGACAGCGCTTGGAATTTTCCAGCAATCAAGGTGCCCTTGTTTTTTATAACAGGCAAAATCTTCAAATGTGTTGAAATGATTCAACTACAAAGGTATACCTGTTAACTAGCCTGAAGAGTCAAGGGCATCTGACGCAATCAATCATGCATATTCACTTTTTCAATCGATGATGCATATGCAATGAGGCCCAAATCATGGGTATGAAATTAAGCCAGCAACAGGACACGAAAAAGGAAGTTCAAGGCTTCCTGGACTGCAGAGAACATTCATGCATGAGATAAGGTGGACATCCCTGGATACAATGGAAGTGTCAAGCTGTGACCTCTCCCAGACCACGCCTGAGGTGTCTCTTCGTTTGTATCCACTCTGGTTGTAATAAATGGCTAATTGTAAGCATGAGGAGCCCTATAGTGCAGCAGTTAAGCTCTCAGCTGCTAACAGAAAGGTCGGTTGTTCGAACCCACTAGCCACTATGCAGAAAAGTGATGTAGCAGTCTGCTTCTCTAAAGATTTACAGCCTTGGAAACCCTATGGGGAAATTCTACTCTGTCCTATAGGATTGCTGTGGGTCAGAATCAACTCAATGGCAAAGGGATTGGTTTGGTTTGGAACTGTAAGTACAGGTAATGTCTGTGAATTCTATGAGGCTTTCTATAGAATTAACTAATACAAATGGACAATAAGCCTGCAAGGCTGGTTGTTTGCCTTTTAGGCAGTCAGAGGACAGAGTCATTCTAACTTGTACACTCTAACAGAGCTCAGGGTGGTTAACTCTGAGAAGGGCTATACAGGCTGTTGATCAGAAGGACTGCATCCTAATTTGTGTATTTTGAATTGTCTCAGAATTGCCAGGCACAGAAGACCTATTCCCACGCAGCCAGGAAAAGAGAGGACTTGGCCTCGGGAATCCATGGATGAGATGACCTGGCCCTGGGCAGTCAGTGGCGAGAGGATTTGATTCTGGGTCGCTAGAGAGGAGAATGTGCCATGTGGGTGGCTTACAACAACGATAATGCAGATGTGGTAAGGTGGGAATTAGCTTCATGCTGATCCGTACCACAGTTACCAATAAAGGCAGGATTTTTCTTACTTGACCCCTGTTTAGTGCAGTTAGGACAATTAGTAAATATACAAAGGAATTCAATTAAAGTAGTGTGGTGTAATAGGCTCCTTTAGGTAGTTCGCTCTTACACATGGCCTTTCTGGCCCTGGGTTTATAATTCTGCCAGAAATGATTGGCTGGAACCACAATCTTACAGGGGATTGGTTAGTCTATTATGCAAATAAGGTATGTAAAACCACCCAACAGGAATGAATGACTTATTTATAAAAGCAGCGAGTTGACAGCTGGTTTCAGAGAGAGGCAGGTAGAGAGAGACAGACAGAGGAAGGGTACCTCCTAAAAGAGCTGTAACATAGGTCAAGAAGCTGTACCACTGAAGACAGCGAGATAGCATGAGACATCTGCAGTGGATTTGCAATAGAGTTGAGCATCTAAGGGCAGGATGCTTGCTGGCAGAGTCGGGGGACTCCAGGCACTTGTTGGCAGAGCCAAAAGAGCTGTAACACTTGCCGAGCAGGGCAGACTCCCAGAGAGGCCCGACAGTAGGAATGGCTAAGAGAAGGGCTACCTGCCTGCAGGCACTGTGAAAGAAGGAGTTGAGAGCTATCTTGGTTGGAAGCTGTCCTGGTTGAAGAACTCTATGGTGTCTCCTGAGTTGTGTATTGTTACTTCCAAGTTGATTCTAACCCCATGTTTGTAGATTGTTAATTCACCAATAAACCACATAATTGTGAGAGCCGTGCAGTGAATTACTTAATATGGCCCTACAATCCGTAGTCTTTGTGACACTTGGAACCGCAACGGCAATGGAGGCGGCGTCTACAATGAGACGAGAAGGTACAGAGATAAGCAATCATGGATGGTGGCAGCTGAGTGTAAAGGCCAAACCCTGGCCAGGACAAGTAACACTCTGAAGGACAGGGCACTATCTGCAAGCGGCTGCCTGAAGCGGAGGGTGTGCCACTCAGGGAGTACTGCAACAAGAGGTGTCCTGAAGCCAGCCTAGACTTGTGGCCAGCCTAGAGTAGCTAGACTCACCCAAGAACAGGGACCATCTGAGAGCTATCCTGGAGCAGGCCAGGAGGACCTGGAAGCCAGCTGAGAAGACAGTTGATAGGGGGCCCCACTGAGTGACATCACAGAATAGTTCCTGGTTGAAAGTTTTCTTGGTTGATGAGAGTGAACATCTGTTTCAGGGAGAGTAAGCGAATACCCTTGAGATGTTGAGGTACTCTGCAGGAAACACTTGCAAACCTCGTCCCATGCATTTCTTTGTTTATATACATATTTGTTATATTAAAAACTGTTATTGCAGATATGGTGTTTCCGTGATTTCTCTGTGACCACTGCAATGCATTAGCAAACCCATTAGAAAAAGAGAGTGCTGAAGAAGAATGGCTTGTGTCAGAAATAATGTACAAGTGGGGAATTTGGGATATATTTGATCTCAGCCTCATAGGAACCAGCTTTGGCTGATTTTTAGTCAGAGTTATCATTTCAGTAGACATGAGTTATGATTTGGTTTATGATACAACTCAAAATGTAGGATGTTAATGTTTTTTTCTAGTTAAAAAATCATCAGGAAGAGCAGAGACCTTTAAAGAAGACAGCCTGCAGGCAGGAAATATTAAAGGTTATTACAGGATGACCAGGATTTCAGATTTACAGTACTAAAGGATAAACTAAACTGATAGGAGTTTTCTTGCTAGGAAGAGGATCCTCATTCCTTGCAGATATTGGGAACTCATAGGGAAGTTTTGTGAAGATGAGTAAAATATACACAAAAAAGTCTGTTAGACACTTTCAAAAAAAGAGAAAAAAAATAAACCCGTTGCTGTCGAGTCAATTCCTACTCAGAGTGACCCTATAGGACAGGGTAGAACTGTCCCATAGAGTTTCCAAGGAGCACCTAGTGGATTCAAACTGCTGACCTTTTGGTTAGCAGACGAACTCTTATCCACTACGCCACCAGGGTTTCCAAACACTTTCAAGGGAGATGTAAATTTGACAGACTCCTCTAAGAAACAGAAGATTAACTCATTAGAATGAAGGAAACATGAAAGGGTTAGGAGAACAAATGAGAAAATGGAAATCAGAACTTTTGGAGAACTCAGTATGGGAGAAGACAGAGCAAAGGAAGCAGATAGAAGCATAATGAGAGATCAGTTTAGTGTGGGGAAAAACATCCAAGGTAGTGTTGGATGCAAGTATGGGAAATTCATATTACTCAATGGCAGAGGAGGATGCCGTACTCTGAGGCATCTATTCAAAGTTCTCTCTTAGGAGAGAAGACTGGAAGGTGGAATTTCACAATAAGGGAGGTAGAAGGATATGAAGAAGGGAAAGATTTGAGAATCCTAGGAAAAATAAAACTATGCAGCCAAAATTAACAAAATGTTGATCAAATAAACAGGGATCTGATCTCAGAAGAGGTAGAGGAGTATATTTCTCTAAATGCCTAGGAAAAAACAAAAGAGGTATCAACATGGGGAGAGATACATGTGGAAGCACTTTTATGTAGCCCCAGACACCCATCACAGATGTGATGCCTTCTCTCACTTGAACGTGACTTCCAAAGCCTTCTCCCCTTACCGCTTTTCACTTGCCTACCTGAAAAGATTCCATGATGGCTTTCCTCTGATACATTCCATGGTTGTTTTCCTTGTTCCAACCTGGAGAGCGCATGTGGTTTGCTAACTTGATACCCTGTTCATGGGAAATCACAGAATCTTAGATTCACCAAATTGGCCTTGGGTTTGTGAAGACTGCAGCATCTTGTATTAAAAAAAAAATTTTGAAACGTACAAATTAATGGTTTTTCTGTAAGGAGTAGGGAGAATATACTTATTTAACTAGAGATAGAGAGTGGACTGAGCATCCGCCACTTTAGAGCACCACAGACAGTCCAAAGAGTTCAACAGCTGAAAAAGGAAAGGCCAATGACAGGAGATTTGTCCTCACCAATGGACACCAGGTTGCGATAGTTCTCCAACAACATGTCCCAGTATAGTTTCTTCTGAGCAGGGTCCAAGAGCCGCCACTCCTCCAAGGTGAACTCCATAGCCACATCGTTGAATGTCAGTGATTCCTGTATTAAGAGGATCCTCTTTAATGAAGTAATTTCCATTTGATGGTTTGAATGAAATGTGAGGGAAATTGTTCTGCTCATGTCCTCTATATAAGCTGCTGCATCTACATACCTAGGGTTTTTTTGTTTTAATATCTTATAGAAAAAAGCAAAATCCTCACAAAATATCCTGAATATGTACATTCAATAATGTATTGACTCATAAAATTAGAATTTTTTATAATTTGTAGCAGTGAAATAGTCTTCCGAAACTAGAAAAATCTCATATTTATACATATATATGTATACATATATATACAGGTGTCCCCACTTTTAGAAAGTTCACTTTACTCCACTTCATTTTATGAAAGACCTAAATTAGTACCTGTTTTCGCTTCCCAAAAGAAATCCAAAGAGGATTTTCCCCTTTATGAAAAAAGACAAAAAGTAGAAATAGCATTCAGCATTTGTTTTCAAATGATTTGTTAAAGAAGGCAGAATGCACTTGGAGCAGTGAGAGTGGCATTGTCAAGCTCCTTCCCCAGGAACCACACTCAACAACTCAGCATGAAGTCGCCATAGCTTTGAGCTGTGTCTAGGAGCATCTGTGCTTTATCTCCATTTATTTTGTGCATCCCTTAGCAAGATGTGTCCTGAGATATTTTTTGGGTTTGACAATGCTCAAAAAATTTTCCCATATAAATTAATGGTAATTGCCTCTTCGCTTTATGCCATTCTGGCTTACGAAAACTTTCATAGGAATGCTCTACTTTCAGATAGTGGTGGAAATCTGTATTATACACACACACACACACACACACACACACATATATACACACACATACATACACACATACACACACACAAGCATACCTTGGCGATATTGGGGGTTCAATTCCAGACCACCAGAATAAAGCAAATACAGCAATAAACCAAGTTGCAAGAATTTTTCGGTTTCCCAGTGCATATAAAAGTTATGCTTACATTATACTGTAGCTATTAACTGTGTAATAGCGTTACGTATAAAAAATCAATTTACATACCTTAATTAAAAATACTTTATTGCTAGAAAGTTCTAATCATCATCTGGGCCTTCAGCAAGTCGTAATCATTTTGCTGGTGGAGTGTCCTGCCTCGATGCTGATGGCTGCTGACTGATCAGGGTGGTGGTTGCTGAAGTTTGGGCTGACTGTGGCAATTTCTTAAAACAAGACAACAGTGAAGTTTGCAGCATCGAGGGGCCAGAGAAAGGTGTGCTTGTGGGACAGCTGTGAAGAGGCTGTCTTGATGGAAGAACTGTATCCTGAGTGGGCCTGAACATGAATTGCTGTTCCCTGTTATTTCCATAATAAACCCCATAATCATGAGTACTGTTTGTAAGCTCTGTGTGGCCATGACAATGAATTATCGAACTCAGCAGAGGAGTGCCATGGGAAGCATGGTTGGTGTCAGAACTGGCAAAGATGGCAGAGAGAGAAGGTGTGTCTGACCTCTGCCTCATAGGAATCAGCCTTGGGCTGTTGATCTTGGTCCACCTTCACCCTTCTGAAGTTAGAGGAGAACAGATGCCACCCCCATACCATTTTTACAGTTGGTGCCAGAAGCGGGATTTGTTGCAATGGCTCCAAACTCATGGAAGCATGGGACTTCGTAAAAGAAAGAACCAAGGGAGTTGGGAAGTGAAATTTTTTCTTCTTAGATGGTTAGTTTGGTTGTTGTTACCTGTAATGGCTGAAAGGAAAGCTATGTTGCAGCTGAGGGGACAAAAACCACTTCTGTTATGGCCTGGGAGCCCTGGTGGCACAGTGGTTATGTGTTCAGCTGCTAATCAAAAGGCTGGCAGTTCAAATTCGCCAGCAGCTCCTTGGAAACCCTATGGGGCAGTTCTACTCTGTCCTATAGGGTCCCTATGAGTTGGAATTGACAAGATGGCAATGGGTTGGGTATGGCTTGGGGTAAAAGTCAGACCAGATAAACAAGATGATTGACAGGGGTCCAGGGTCTGCTGGTTCCACCCAGCCAGAAGCCCAAGGCTGTATGCATACAAATGGGAAGACTGTCAAGGGGTGGAGAAGAGAAGCAGCAACTGGAATGTTTCAAAATGGGTTATGTGTTTCTTTGAATGTACTCTGGATACTGACTGTTTCTCCTACCTAGTATTGTAAAGCAGATGTAAATGTATGATAGAAATGAATATTCAGTATCACAGATTACAGACAGCATGTAACTCTACCTTCAGGCAATACTTGATTGGATATGCTAAAAGGGAAACTATGATTTGCCTGAGGAAAAAGAGGCTTTTTGTTTCAAGCCCTGTGTATAGAGTAGGGGCTTAGGGTAAAAACCCAGAATTTACATTTGAAAAGACATGCAGAACCACTCAGAACTGCTGAGATTAACAGAAGATTCCCATTTGAAGGAAGGACCTGCAGGGGGAAAAAAAAAAAAAAAGACTGTTTAGCTTTTTTAATTTCCAGTAGGCAACTTGTTAGCCTTGGGTCACTGAGGCAGGAAGAGTCAGTGCTCATCAGAAGCAACCCCCTTCCAGGACTGGAAGTTAAAGGGAGCTGGGGAGCAGACAGCTTGCTATGCTTGCTCACAGTAACCAGCTGTGTCTACTCAATTAGTGGAAGTGGGGGAGGGGGAAGTGCAGCAATGAAGAGACAGGCTGAGTATGGACATGTTCCATTGGCACCCGTTGACGCAGCCCACAGGGGCTAGTCATGAAAGAGAGAGAGAGGGAGAGTTCACTGCTCAGAAGTAAAAGGTGTTGTGGACTCCTGAGTTCACAGATGGAACCTGTTGACCTAGTCCAAGTGGGACTGGGATTGGAAAGAGAGAGAAGGGGCTTGCTGGTCTGAAGTGCCAGGAGGTGTGTGTGAACTCTCAAGCCTAAGGCTGCTACCCAGTGCGACTTAGCTTGGATGGCTAGGGATGAGCTGACCAGAACTCCACCAAGTGAAGAGAAAGATCGTTTGACACTGTGAGCTGGTGTACATTGCTGCAATTTGATGGCTTGCTCTGGACTGGACTTTGCTTATGGATACAGATGCTCAAAGTTTCAACCGGAACAGAAAATTTTTCAAGACCAAGGAACATGCTTGTCTCCTTAGAGTACTGGTTTGATATGGAAGGACAAATTAAGAATTGGCTGTCTTCTAGGTCAATGGGCATAACAAAGTTTATTAAGAAAATGATCTGCATCCTACTTTGGTGAGTGGCGTCTGGAGTCTTAAAAGCTGGCGAGCGGCCATCTAAGATGCATCAATTGGTTCCAACCCACCTGGAGTAAAGGACAATGAAGAACACCAAAGATACAAGGAAAGTATTAGCCCAAGAGACAGAAAGGGCCACATAAACCAGAGACTGCATCAGCCTGAGGTCAGAAGAACTAGATGATACCCAGCTACCACCAATCATGACCCTGACAGGGAACACAATAGAGCGTCCCTAATGGAGTAGGAGAAAAGTGGGGTGCAGAACTCAAATTCTAGTAAAAAGACCAGACTTAATGGTCTGACTGAGACTGGAGGAACCCCAGAAAGCATGGCCCCCAGACTCTCTGCCAAGCCAGAACTAAAACCATTCCCAAGGCCAACTCTTCAGACAAAGATTAGACTGGACTATAAGACATAAAATGATACTTGCGAAGAGTGTGCTTCTTAGCTCAAATAGATACATGAGACTAAATGGGTAGCTCCTGTCTGGAGGTGAGATGAGAAGGCAGAGAGGGTCAGGAGCTGGTTGAATGGATACAGGGGTGGAAAGGAGGAGTGTGCTGTCACAGTATAGGCAGAGCAACTAGGGTCATATAACAATATATGTATAAAATTTTTGTATGAGAGACTAACTTGAATTGTAAACTTTCACTTAAAGTACAAAAAAAAAGTTTGGTACAATTCACCTTTTGAGGGGGGAATTGGCTGTCTAAAATGGGTGGAGATAAAGGGATGAAGTGGGTGGCTTACATGCTTTCGTGGCCATGCGTACACTCGAAATGCTGGGGCCAAGGGAGGATCCCCACTGAATAGATTCCTCTTTTCCTGATGGGACGGGGGAAGAGAGAATGGGAGAATATGCTGATAGGACTATATGATTCATTTGTGAGTGTTCATTGTTAACAGGGTTAACTGCGATTGTACAAACTGTAATTGTTGAAGCTTAAATGTGAAAGTGTGGACTAAGGGGGAGGCCACTGCTGGACTGTTATGCTGATACCTTGTGAGGCTCAGACCAAGGGAATAATCTTCTATCAGTTAAACTTTATTGGACACCAGAAAGGGTGAAGCTGAGATGGCTTCTGAAGAACATGAGCAGATTAGATGAATACCTGTAGCAGACTTAAATAGCTGGTACCTGAGTAATCTCATCCTGAGGACTCTTTTGCTCTATTGAAGGACTAATTGTTAATGACTGTTTTGGACTGCTAAATGATCAAGAGGGGAAAGTTAATCCTTCAAGTATGAAAGGGTCTGTGACTAGAAAAGCCACTGCAAGATCATGTTTATGGAGCCTTTCTCACCATGGTCTTGTAACTCCCACCCAAGTGATTAGGTGGGACTGTGCAAATAGGGTAATTGAGGCCCACCAAGGGGACTGTTCAGTTTTGCCATCCTGCTAGGCTTAAAAGACAGCCAATTCCTGAGCAGGAGGAGGATTTCACCACCACCAAGGAAGAATAGCCAGGACTTTTGGACCCGGGATCCCTGCACTGACAAGCTCCTGGAACCAGGGGACCAAGAGAAACAGAGAGAGCTGCAACACTGAAGATGGTGAGAATCAGTGGCAGAGAAATGGTGGCAGGAGACCAGCAGGAGAGACTGACAGGAGATGGCGCAGGAGGCTTACCAGCCCACAGTGTGAGAATGCTGAGTGCCTTTGGGCCGAGGCTGACTGGTGTAGTGGGGAGCCTCTGGGCACTTATTGGCAGAGCTAAAAGAGCTGTGTAACACTTGACTGAGCAGGGCAGAGGCCAAGGGGCCAGAGAGAGGTGTGCCTGCAACAGGTCTGGGAATAAGCTGTCCTGACGGAAGAACTGTATCCTGAGCATTCCTGAACCTGAATCGTAACTGTTACTTCCCTAATAAACTCCACAATCGTGAGTATTGTCTGTGAGTTGTGTGTGTTCATTGCAATGAATCATCAAACTCAGGAGAGAAGTAGAGATTTCCGTGGGAGGGACAGGTGGTGTCACAATTGGTAAAGATGGCAGAAGGATAAGGCTTGTCTGAAATCTGCATCACAGCAATCAGTCCTGGGCTGTTGATCTTGATTCTCCTTCCAAATTGTGAAGTTGGAGGAGGTGAGAGGCTGCTGCCATGCCATTTTTACATGCAATAAAGCAAAGTACAATCAAATGAGGTATGCCTGTACATACATACACATACACATACACACTTACAAACATACAGACATACATACATATTACACACACATATATGTATATATGTTAACAGACAACTTAACAGCGTATGAAATACACTAGAGTGGTATTAGTAAACTGTAATCTAGAATTGAAATGATCAAAATCTAGCAGAGAGTGGGACAATATAAAGGAGAGATTAGGAAACATGGATAGAGTGAGAATGTCTAACATATGCTGCGATGCAATGAATTACTTAATGTGGCCCTTTAGCCATGGTCTTTGTGACTGATACACAATGATTGGGTGGGACTATGCAAATAAGGTATATGGGACCTGTGACAGTAAGGGTTATGTGTTAAGTTGGTTAGGCCGTGATTCCCAGTATTGTGTGGTTGTCTTCCATTTTATGTGTGGTGTGTCTTGGGTCACAGGCTTGCAGGAGGGCATGACTCAAGTCCCACACTTAATGAAGTTATTCCTCTCCCTGGGGTGTGGCCTGCATCTAAGGTCCATGTGCCCTGGTGGGGTTCTCTCTTTCTGCATCTGGACCTCTCACCTGGTTCATGATCGTCTAACTTCCGGTTCTTGGGACTTGAGCCAGAGTCCTGCTGTCTGATCTGCAGGTTCTGGGATTCGCTGGCCTCTGTTTCCTCAAGGCTCGGTAGCCTATCGTCTGACCTAATTTGCCATCTTCCACAGCCTTGTAAGCCAGCAGCCTGTGGTCTCAGCTGCCAGTTTCAGTTCGTCAGCCCCTGCAACCACATGGATCGAGAGAAGCCTATGCCTGACCCACGGATTTGGGAATTGCCAACCTCCACAATCGTGAGCCATTTCCTTGACAGTTTGTGAGTTCTGTTAGACTTTGAAGCAAACTATGGAACCCAAAGATGGGAGGGACACTACTGAGATGAGAAGGAGCAGTTGATGTTAAAGATGATGGAGTGGTTAAGCCATTTGGAAAAGTTGCATGTTTAACCTCTGCCTCACAGGAACCAGCTTTGTACTGATCCTACTAAAAGAAATTATTTATTTAGTTGGTGTCAGAATGGTAGGTTTCACTGCAATGGCCTAGACTCACTAGAATATATGGTTTTGCAGAAAAGGGGATAAATAGAAGAATGAGAAACTTGGTTTCTGGATGAGATAAACAACATCCATGATTGAATCAGCTGTTACACTGCAATCAGTTACCCAAGGAAAAAGCTATTCATGGGGTTTAGGAGAGGTGGATCTAACTCCTGAGGAATTGGCTAATGGATGCATATGGAAATACAGAGTGATAAAGAAAGGGCCAGACATACAATTCTTGGTTTCTGTTATCAATAATAGCTGTAATGGCAGGGAAGAAGAACTTAGGGGCCCATTTTTGCATTGAACCAAGCCCAGATCCGTCTAGTCAGAGCTAAGACCACAAGTCTCAGGGCCAACCCCGAAAGGAAAAATCGTGTTGGAACAACAGGAAATTTCCTGTGACGGTTGGTCACCAAGAAGGTGGTCTGGGAGGGAACCAGGCAAAACCAAGAAACTACTGAAACCAAGAGGTATAGTGTAAAGGAGTTGCATCAATTTGTAGATTGGTATCGTCAGGAACCATTACTAAAATGGATTGTGAGAGCTACTAATTGAGGAGCGGTGTCTTTAGTTTTGAATGCTACAGGATGGAAGAGTATGTTTGGGTTGATGCAAGACCCACAACTCACTATGGAACAGTCATGAATGATGATACAAGATCCAGTTACACAGCAGGTTAACCCGGAGGGGACGGCCAGCCAGATGGACTGGATAAAATTTGCAGTGAGATTTACTTACCCTGATAAGGGAAACTGCCCCACTCCCCCTTTAAATATCCAATAGGACACTCCAGAGGAAGCAGCTGATGTGCTGCTTATGCAAGCTACGCTGGAACGATTTTATGGTGATCAGGGTATTCATCCAATGACTATGCCCCTAACACAGATCATGGCAGATACAGTAATCAAGGAAGCCCCTTCTACATGGGCACCCCATGTAAACTTGTTAGTGTGAAACAAAACAATTCGAGAAGTCTTGTCAGATCTATTGGCACAGTTTCCTCGTATGGGTCTTATAGATCCAAGAAACAAAAGGGTGATTCGTAAGAGAATGGAAAGAGGCAATGGGGAAAGAATCTATCCCAGCAGGACAGAGATTTTTAGATAGTTACTAAGAAACGGGATAAATATAGCGGACACTGATGGAGTTGAGATAAAGGCTCTAATGTAGCACTACAGGAGGTTGGGTGGAACAACGGAAATTCCTGCTGGTCCCTCAACGTTAAAGAGGGCAGCCTGAACAAGGCTGAAACAAGCAACAGTAGGCTATGTCTGAATTACAGAAAGCAGTCTTACTCTCCCTGTGAGATCTTATGATCCACATTCAGATATGATTTTGGAGGTGTCTGCCACACATGCCTATGCAGACTGGAGCTTATGGCAAAAACCTGAGACTGCCTCCCTACAGCAACCACTGGGATTCTGGACTAGAAAGTTTCCAGATGCTGCAGCACGACACACGCCATTTGCAAGGCAATTACTAGCCTGCTATTGGGCGTTGACTGAGACTGCCTCAGTGACAGAGGGGCATAAAACCATTATGAGACGCCTTGGGTGATGTCAGAGCAACACTCTAATAAGGAAGGTGGTGCCCAAAATAGTTTCATAATAAAATGGAAATGGTTTTTACAAGAACAAGCTACTGGGGGAATGCACTGTATCCACGAGCAGGTAGCCCCTTTTCCCATAGGTCCTACCCTGGAACCACCTGAGAAGCTGCCAGAGCCTATTGCTACACAGACAGTGCCCTACGAACAGCTTTCTGCTGACCAGCAGAAGGCTGCTTAGTTCATGGATGGCAGTTCCAGGGTACATGGACAACATGTGATGTGGAAAGCTGCTTCATTAAGACCAGCAAATGGAAAGACTCTGATTGAAGAAGGTAAGAAAAAGTCAGCTCAATGGGCTGAACTGCATGCTGTCTTCCTAGCTGTAATGGGAGAACTGTGCAATGGTGAGAATCCATATGTTTGGATTTTTACTGATTCATGGGCAGTGGCCAATGGCCTGGCTATATGGTCAGGCAAATGGGCGATGGAAAATTGAACTACTAAGGGGACACCAGTGTGGGGCATGGACCTACGGAAAGCACTCTGGGAATTTAGAGGGTGCATTAGAGTTGGAAAATCGATGCCCATCAGAAGAACCCCCTTCCTGGATCAGAAGGCGATTGGAATCAGCAAGTAGACCTGTCGGCAGGCTCACTTGAGATGTCCAATTGAGTCCATGATATGAGTGGACATGAGGGTGCTGCAGCAATGCAGAGACGGGCTGAATCTAGATGTATCCCTCTTGTACCGAGGCACAGCATGCCAATAAACACTGCTCTGAATGTGCACTGCAATGAATTACTTAACATGGCCCTTTTAGCCATGGTCTTTGTGACACACACAATGAATCAGTAGGACTATGCAAATAAGATGTATGGAACCTGTGATGGTTGGGGTTACGTGTCAACTTGGCTAGGCAATGATTCCCAGTATTGTATAGTTGTCCTCCATTTTATGTGCTGTGGATCCTGACTTCTACATGTCGATGAGGTAGGTTGGTGTGGGGTGTGTCTTGGGTCACAGCCTTGCAGGAGGGCATGACTCAAGTCCCACCCTTACACAAGTTACACCCTCCCCTGGGGTGTAGCCTGTATCTAAGGTATATGTGTGTGTACTGATGGGGCTTCTCTCTCTGCATCTGGATCCTGCATCTGGTTCATGATTGACTGGCCTTAGTTTCTTGGGACTTGAGCTAGAGGCCTGTCGTCTGACCTGCCAATTCTGAGATTCACCAGCCTCCACAGCCCCATGGGCCAGCAACCTATAGTCTGACCTGATTTGCCAGCTTCCGCAGCCTTCTGAGCCAGCAGCCTGTGGTGTGAAGTGCCAGTTTGGCTTCATCAGCCCTTGCAGCCGCGTGGGTTGGGAGACGCCTACGCCTGACCCACGGATTTTGGATTTGTCAGCCTCCACAGCCACGTGAGTCATTTTTTTTTTTAATATGGTTTGTGAGTTCTGTGAGATGTTGCAGTGAATTAGGGAACCAAAAGATGGGAGGGAGAGTACTGAGGTGAGGCGGAGTAGTGATGTTAGAGATGATGGAGTGGTACAGCAGTTTGGAAAAGTTGGACATTTGAGACATCTTTAACCTCTGCCTCATAGGAACCAGCTTTGTGATGATCTGTATAAAAGAAATTATTCATTTATATGCCTATCCATAACTTCTGAAAAAGAAAACAGAGTAAGGGAGAAGAAATATCCAAATATCTCACTCAGTACTCAACAATAATTTTTTACAGAACAAAAGATCTATGGCAGGCATATTCTAAGATAGACCCATAGTCATATTTATACCTTTGTACAGTCCCCTCTCCCTGAGTATGGGATGGCCTAGTTCCTCCTATCTAGCAGAATGTGGCAAAGGTAATACAATGTCATTCTGTGACTAGATTACATACATATTAGATGTTATTTCCCTATTGCTGGTTGTTATGCTGCAGCCGTGGATAGGAAAGCTGCATCTGGAGTGACAGCCCAGGAGGTTAGGCAAGATGACTGATAGGGGCCAGGGTCTTCTGGTTTGACCCAGACAGAGACCTAAGACCTTATGCTTGCAAATGTATAAGATAGTCAGAGGATGGAAAACAGAAAATGAAACTGAAATTTTTAAAAACGTTACGTGTTTTTATCTGAATGTACTCTATTTATCTGACTAAAGGACTGTTTTCCCTACCTGGTATTATGAAACAGACTTAAACGTATGAAGAAAATAAATACAGAGGGAACAAGGATTATATGGAACTTGTAAGAGTAGTAGAGAGTGCTGTGGGAGGGATGTCTGGTGTCAGAACTGATGAAAAGTTTAAAGGGCAGAGGTATGTTTGACCTCCACCTCATAGGAATCAGCCTTGGGCTGATACTGATGGTAATTCTCCCTCCTTGTGAAGCTAAATGAAGCGGTCAGATGCCCCCACGCCATTTTTTACAATCTTCATCCCAAGTTGTACCCTGTTACTTTTTTAATAAACCACTTAACTGTAAGTATGGTCTGAGAGTTCTGGGTGGCCAATGCAACAAAGTATCGAATCTAAAAGAGCAGTAGCGAGTGCTGTGGGAAGGACAGCTGGTATCAGAATTGTTAAAAAGGTTAAAGAGTGGAGGTATGTCTAACCCCCACCTCACAGGGATCAGTCTTGGGCATTAACCTCCCTGAAGTTAGACAGGTTCTGACACCGTTACTCCTACTACCATTTTACATTGGTATTCATGAAGCAAGTTGCCATGGCGGGGAGGTCCACGTGGCAAGTAACAGAGGGCTCCCTCTAGCCAACAGAAAGTGAGTAACCTAGGCTCTCATAGAACTGAACCCTACCCACAACCAAGCAAGTGAGCTTGAAATCAGATCCTTTACCATTTGCCCCTCAGTTGAGGAAAAATGGAAGAACAGCCATAGGAAACCTGCTTTTGCATCTGTGAGAAGGCAGCTATTAGGATACTGTCCACCA